GGCAATCACATGAGCAAGCAGCGCACCCAGCTCGTATTGTTTGAGAGCAATCCCGCTGCTGCGCCTCCACTTTCTTCAACTCAGATGGAGCCGAGGCGCCTCTGAGGGCTTCTTGAGAGGGAAGGACAAGCTTTGCTGCTGGGCCAAGCCTGGGCTATGCCATGCTGCTGCCTCCCAAACTCCACCTTTGCTGCTGGGGAAAGCTGCAGTTGCAGGGCACTCTGATGGGTAAGATAGGAGGAAAAAGCGGCGGCAGAGCGTGCTCCGCATGGGGGAGATAGGAGAGAAAAGTGATGGCAGCAGAGCACTCTGCATGGGGGAGGTAGGGAAAAGCGGCAGCAGGGCACGCTCTGCGTGGTGGGGGGTAGAGAAAAGCTGTGGCAACAGGGTACTTGCGCGGGGGAGGTAGGGAAAAGTGGCGGCAGGGTGCACTCTGCATGGGGGAGTACAGGAAGAAAATAGCAGCAGGGTGCTTCATGTGGGAGGGGGGAGGTAAGCAGCAGCATTGGTGGAGTGCTGGGGGGGAAGCAGCAGGGTTTTGAGGTTCCCAGTGTTTTCTGTGGGAAAGAGGTCCAAATGGCTCTTTGAGTGTTTACGGTTACTGACCCCTGGCTTAGATGAAGGAAATGTTTTAGATAATTAAATGTGTTGGAATTTAGGGAAATTATAGTATAAAAAAGAAAAAAATGTTTTGAATAAGAGTTAAAGGATTAGATGACTAGACACATTAAATGTAATATTTAAAGATTAAATATATTTTTAAATTATGATTAAAAAGAATAAGAAATTTTGGGAATGAATATTTATTAGCTTAGGAGGAATATATATTTTAAGTAGTATTTTACTTTTATGTTTCTTTACTCTTGCGCTCCTTTCTTTTTGCTCACTGTTTTTACTTATTCTTTAAGAAATGTAAAAGTGTTGAGATGGTTTATATGGGAAAAATGGATTTAAATCTTTAAATGTAATTAACTATTGAGAAAATCTTAACCAGCAAGAATACTTTGAACTTTGTGGGAGAAACAAATTTAAATAAGGACTGTAACGGGATATATGATGAGGCAACCAGAATGATTAGATAGAAAAGAAATATTGATGTGGTTATTATTTTTAGGAATATTGGGAAATTCATGTATATAACTGTTATTTATAAAAATAATAAGAACTGTATTAATTCAAGGTTTGCTAAGGAGACATTTTGGGGAAAAGGGGAAATCAACTAAACGTACTATGTGGATTATGGATTATAGAAACCAATTGTTAATGATTTTTCTTTACAAATGTAAACCCAGCAAATATGCTGTTTACTAACTATTAAGTGATTTATGTTTTTTAAAAAATAAAATATATGGGAAAAAAAGAAACAACATATTCAAAACATGTATTAGAAGATTGCAAAGGGAAAACATTCTCATGGCTTGGATTGCATAAACAATTTGGTGCAGTTTATATGTTCTTTTTATTACAGAGTTCCCCAAATAAAATTTCAAAAGTTATTTCTTTTTCTTCTTCCAGCATTGTATGTAATACAGTTCAAAACATTAAATCTTATTATCTATGATACAAAACCTTAGATTGAGCCATTCACAAACATTTACCGGCATGAAAAGCCATGGTGGCGCAATGCTTAGAATACAGTATTTCTGGCTAACTCTGCCCACAGTCCGGAGTTTGATCCTGACCATCTCAAGATTGACTCAGCCTTCCATCCTTCCAAAGCCAGTAAAATGAGGACCCAGAGTGTTGGCAATATGCTGACTCTGTCAACCTCTCAGAGAATACTGTAAAGCACTATGGAATGGTATATAGGACTAAGTGCTATTGCTATTTACTTTTATAAAACTAGTTCAAAATGGTTTCCTAAGACAGCTCTGCATTGTTTGTATGTCTCATATAATAAGATGACAATTCAAGAAACCATAGCAGTGTTTATTGTACATCTGTTGGTCTAAGGACAAGGATTCTTTTCATTAGGAGATACAATAGTCATTGCTGCGGATGTAAACATTTTTACACAGATTTCCCTTAGCCCAGTTTGGTCAAATAGTTAAGGCAGCAGGAGACTGTTGAGTTCAAATTCTGCCTTAGCCATGAAAAGCAGCTGGGTGATTTGGGGCCAATCACTGTCTCTTAGCCCAACTCCCCTCATAAGGTGGTTGTTGTGGGGGAAGTAGGAGGAAGGTATGTTGGATTTTTTCGCCATCTTGAGTTATTTGTAAAAATAATAAAGGCAGAATATAAATAAAATAAAAAATAACCGGTTATTGTCCATGTGGGTTGGGAATCTCAACCATATCTAGTAATGTTCACTGGGAATTTTAGGATTTCTAATCCCAATATATATCTGGGAAATATCTAGTTGAAAAAACTTGCATTAACATTGGTTAATATTTCCATGTAGAAAAAAATGTGATCACTACAAGTAGTTATGTCTATTATGTATCTCATACCTTTTGGAAAAAGGCATTGGTTGGGTTCATTATTCATGCTAATGAATAATGGTATGTTTAGCACAGTATCTTGTGTAAAGCCAGGGATCATGGCATGGGATATAACTTAGTACAGTACCTGACCCAGTTACAGTGGCTTTTAAAGTAAATCAGGCTTAAAACTAACTATGGCCTAATGTAATACCAACTATTGCCTAAGTCTCTGCAAAGAGACCCATTTATAGTACATGGCTTGGTGCATTCTGCATGTACTTTTGTGGGATGAAATTCCTTTTAAATTCAGTGGGAGGCTGGCTGTCCACCATCCTATTGTTCTTACTTAAACAGAAAACATTTGTAAGGAATATTCATTTGGCATGAGTTGCTCTTTGGAAATAAAAAGAAATGGCCAAGTAGCTGTTGAGCTTTGCAGAACTCTTGAACTGCTGAGAATGAACATTCAACAATCTAAATGTGGGACATATATAAATATAACTTTTGACTTGAATTCTTTCAGAATGCTTGCCATTTAATGTTTTCATTGGGTCACAGGTCTAGGGCAACATAGTTTAACTGTGTCAATTTTCAAGTGTGTAAACTTCAACTTCCAGAATTCTATAGCCAGTATGCTATTAATTAAAATAGTGGGAGTTGGGAGTCCATATATCTAGGAGTTTCAAGGTTAGGAAACACTGGCATAAATAATTGGTGTAAATTAACACAGGGCACATGCCCACAGAACATGTTCAGAATTTGGCTTTATGATCATGTTGTCATACAGGCTTTGGCTGGAAAATATAAAAAATAAATATATATATTCAATTAGTGCTAGGAGGGGGCTTCTTGTTGGAGGTGGTTGATAGATTAATATCAGATCCACTGCCCCCCCCCAAGCTCATTCCACTCCCTTCCACCTTATCTTTTAGCTACTATATTTTGCATTTTTATATTTTTTGTAGTATTTTATTTATATAGCTTTATCTTTTAATATTGTAAGCCTCCCGGAGATACCCTGTGGTAGGATGAGCGGCCAATAAATTTGATAAAATAAACTAGTGCTAATGGGACTGAAACTACAACTCACTTTGAAATGAAGAGGTAGCTGTAGGTATAAACATGGCAGGACACCTAGAGAGCCGCACTTGCTGTTTCACCAAAGCTAAGAGTACTTTTCCCCACAAGGACAGTCTCATATACATTACCTGAATACCACTTCTGTTGTGAATCAATGAATAACTATTGTTTAGTTACTTGGCAAATGATACATGATTCGGAAATGGAGTGTTTTGTAATCATTTCACAGTTCAGAATGTGATACCCAGGGAGACCGATAACTAGGAGCAGAAAACTGGGTAAATCTAAAGGATTTTGTAAGATTTCACTGTTTTGTGGGAAGCAACTTAGGAATATGTTTGTTTCTCATATGTTTTCTTGTACATTTTGTAAATAAATATCCAGTGATCATTCTTATTCAAACAAAAACTAGCTGTGTAGCTCTACCCCTGGACTTCCCACCAGTCAAGAAAAAAAATATGGTACCTTTATCTTTGAAAAAATGTCCAGTATTAAAAATTTGTGGAAAGATTTTTAATTCCCCAACATTATATGTAACAGGAGGGAACTCGTTTACCACAAATTGCCAGTTTTTATTGATAAGGTCCATTAATATTTATATGTTTCTTATATGTAAGGGTGTAGGTCTATACATATGTTGTATATAGTATGTTTTTAAATGTGTGTTATGTATGTGTACACTTGAGAGCAGGCAACTAAATTTCATTTTCAATGTGTGCCATTGTGCCCACAGGGGAAAAAAATGACAATAAAGGTTATCATTATCATTATTTGTGAAGCAAATAATTTATACCTGTAATGGAATTTAGAGCTGACATTGAGAAGGCATGAGAGACCCATTAAGAAAGTCTTGGACATGCCAGAGATGGAAGTAGGCATGAGAAAAAAACTCAAAATAGCCCTACCTTCATTTTGGGCATGCTTTCCAGATTCTGTTAATATAGCTACAATAAAGGGCCGTTCCTAAAATCTTGATCTGTTCTATTTGAAAAGGTTGGTGAAATAAATATGTAATAAAAGTCATTGTGTCATTACATGAAATGTAATCTGGCTTACCCAACCTGGGGTACCAAAGTCAAGAGTTCATGCATTTCTGATGAGTTTTTCTCTCTGGTGACCTTCCTTTAGAAGCCAGAGTACAATCTCTCATGGACACTTGAATTCTTGACTACTTTCTTCAAGCACAGGGTTGGACTAGTTAGACTGCAATACTCTTTTAATTTTTGAAAACAGAAATTAAATGAATTGGTTGAAAGAAACCAAATTGAAGAAATCTGGATGTGTCATTCCTTATAAACCTCAAAATACACATCCAGATCTATCTGGTATATATGACTGTTTTTCCAAAATACAATATCTGCAAAATGGAAAGTGTACCACACTTCATTACAAACTTCTCACCAAAGAAGTATGTATGGTAATGGGGGAGGGGGGGATATTGAAAGAAACAGTGACTACTGAGAAGCATAAATCAAAATAGTTTTTCTTCTCCCTTAGATGATCCTTGGAAACTCAACATCTTTTCCTCATGCTGAAAGCAAAGCTCCCTTCTTACCCACTGGACTGCAGATGGGTTGCATCAATCCTCAAGCAATGCATGTGGTTTCCCTTCTGACAAAAGCAGATGGCTATTCTCTTTAGTCAAATTTCTGTGCTCTTATTAACAGATGGCACACAAAATGTTTGATACATCAATGCAGACTGATCCAAGTCTCCTTACAAGATCATCCATGCTCCTAAGTATCTATCCGTTCATTGTCATCATCCATCCTATAAATACTACAACTTGATTATTTATTCTGGAATGTATGATGTTACATTCTGTGGGTTTTTTTATATAGAAAAATGTTAACATTTTTTTAAAACTAGCATAATAAATTTTCTTACTATTATGAAACCCAAAATATTCTGACTTTATCTTTAGAATTTTTAAAATGCATAGATATTGTCTGAACTTGGTACGTTCACCCACATTTACAAGCAGTGGCACTAAATCTGATGATTGGAATTTTCCTCATTTTGGTGTGACCTTAAATGAAACACATTTGAACTCAGCCTGGCAAACAAGTGTGATAGAAGTGACACAAATATGTTCATAAAAGGGACAGTAGAAGAACACCTGACAATATTTTGTGTCTTCTCACAAGGTCAGTAGCATTGGAAAAATAGGGTATTGGAATGTCTGCCCATTAACAGTACTGAAGGAAGGAGATTGAAGGCCAATTTGAAAGGCAAAATCTAAGCAATATTAGTGGGAAAAAAATAGGCAGATGAAACTTAAAAGTCTTTAGAGATTTCTTGCTGTGTATAACTATGGGACAAATTTGTATCTGTATCTCCATGTTTAGTAATTCTTTCAGTATGATAAAGACTCATGTATAATAAGAGAAAAAAATAATAGAGGAGATGTTTCGTCATAATCTTCTTCCAGAAAGATTTAAGAATGTGTCTTCCAGAATTGATAGGATCTGTGTTTCAATGTTAGGTGCCAATATAGAAGTCATGGAACTTGTGTTGTGATGCCACAATGAATATTTTGTCATTTGTTCTTCACTCACCCATCTGGTTGTTTGTGATCCCCTTTCTCTGTGTAGCTTCTCTATTTCCTCCTTTTTCAACCTAATTGCAAGATCTGAAATAATATGGAAATTATGAATCTCCATTTCATTTTGGAAACTTAGAGACTTGCAATACTGAGGGTGAATGGGAGGAATAAAGGTTGTGAACAATAGAGAATTTTAATTTCTCTATTGGTGAAAAAATAAATCAGAAGCTCTCACAGTTGACTGCATTTAGCTGATTCAAAATAACTTCTTTATATTCATATAAAAATATTTACAATACCATACATTTTTTTTTACAGCGACATAGCTCAATTGAAGACTTCTTACAGAAACAAACCTGAGACTGGAAATCCAGCCCCTAACTCAATACCTTTTTTGCACAGACTCAGTAGCACTTTCTTCACATTGGCTGACTGAGTTACCACATGACTCTTCCTGCTCATGAATATTCCAACATATTTTAATCACATATATAATGTTTTAAGCACAGAACAGGGAACTGCAGTGGACAGATCTTGCTTATCCCTTATTACAGATAGCAACCTGAAGTGGAGACAAATTTTCATGATTTTGTATAGTATAAGCTCAAATAAAATATCTTTAGGTTATCAACTGGCATCAGAAATCACAATTCTAACTGCTAGAATGAGATATTTTGTTATTTATTTTTCACCAATTTTTGGAAAGCTTATCTTCTGGCTACAAGAACTCAAAATTAAATGGCTATTGTAATACAGGAGCATGTATATACTGCCGTTCATTTTGAATGAAGTTTTATACGGAGAATGTCCCAGTGGATGACTTACCTTGGGAACATTCTACACATAGCCATGTGTAGAATTTAGATTTCCTGGGCCCTAGAAATCCTGAAACCAGTGCTGATGAACAAAGAAATTAAGAAAACAAACATCAATAGCAACCAACTGACCTAGAATGCTTTGAATTTTTCTGTGGTGGGGTGGTGTTTATTTTGGTTTTTTATTCTAATATTTCAACATTTTACACATTCTATTTGTTATTATGTAACATTCATTATGAGGAATCCCTCAAGAACGCCATATACCCTGGACATAGTGAGAATTCCATCTGTTCAGCAAGCTCTTCTCCTCTAGCAGACTAATGGCACACTATCATTAAGAAATGTTCTCTGGGGCCAAAGTCCTTAATTAATTTCATTTTAAATTAATGGTTGTGGATTAATTGAGAACTATGATAGTTCAGCTCAGAAATGTAAAAATGAAAGAAAGGTAGACAATGAGCTATAGTTGACAAGGAAAAATCAACGTCCAGTAAGAAGCATTTATTCAAATGTATCAACAGCAAGAGGAAAACAAAAGAGATAGTGGGATCACTGTTTGCTTCAGATGGAGAAATCTTAACAGATGGCCAAGGGAAAACAGAAATCTCCTTATCTCCTATATTACTTCAGACTCTGTCTCCAAGGAAATGTTGATTTGAGCAGCTTTGACTGGGGAGGAAAACAACAAGGAAAGGACTATATTTTTAGGATGTGGTAAAGGATCTTCTACGTAATTTGAATATTTTCAAGTCCCCAGATCCTGCTGTAATGCACCCAAGGAGAGTGAAGGAACTGGCTGAATTGCTGCTGGGCCTCTGTAAATTATCTTTGAAGATTCCTGGAAAACTGGGGATGCCTTAGAGATCTAGACAAGATGAAATGTCTTATTAAAAAAATGAAAGAGAGGGACCCTAGTAATTACCATGATTACTTTATTATCTACTCTAATGTCAATATTTGAAAAGATATTTCTCAAGAAGTAATGGTTCTAGATGACTTTCATGTAGTTCCCAACCTCCTCTATTTGGTGAAAATTGTTGAGTAGTGATCAGGCTGCAGTTGCAGTTTTCCTTGAAGGAAAAGTTGTATCATGAGCCTTTTCAGTCATGTTGCAGGCTGAGTTGTAGAATAATAATAGCATGTGAGGAAGTGAAGTTGAGATACCTGTCTGTGTTTGGAAAAGCAGTTGCAGCCAGGAAGAAAAGCTTGCCACCACACTTCCCAAAGGCTCAGCACAACTGTTTTTTCCCCTCAAAGGTCTGTGAAAGTTTACAGCCCTAGAAACCCATGTATACATTCATTTACTCATAATTTTACTCATAAGCATATATGCCAGTGTCCAACTACCTGTCTAATTGAGCCACATTCTGGAATTTTCAAGCATGTGCCAACATCCATAGGCAGCCTCACTCCATTTAGGCTCTTAGCTTACAAAAACAAACACTGAGTGTGGATGGGGATGTAGGAGGAAAGGAGATAGCAGACTGCAATGCAAAGAGGCATAGGCAATGCCTAGAGACTGGCAACTATTACAAGCAAGTAAGAAGAGCAGTGTATCTTGGTGGGAATCCTGTCTGGAGTTTCAGCCCTTGCCTGGAGCTCAGTAGCAACTCGGAACAATCACATAGAAGTAGCACCTCATCCCAACTAGTGCAAAAAGTTTTTTTAAAAAAAGGCAAAGTTCGTATGCTACATGATAGATTTTAAGACTAAAGGACTGAGTATAAAGGTTATGTATTAAAGATATATTTATGTGGCAATATAATCTTGCAAGGCCTAGAAGGGTGAAGTTGACCTAGAGTAACAGCCTGTTGTTGAGGAAGGTGTGTGCTGCAATAAAGCAATGTGTACAAATTTACTGTGCTGTGGTTATGTCCAGTCCTTGGAAAGCAAAGAATTTTCACATAGCACTGGAGCTCTGGAGGAACTAAGGTAGGATGGCATGCATTCATCCTGGTCTTCCTTGATCCTTTAGGTTTTTTTTATACCATCAATTATGGTAGATTTCTGGACTGCTGGCTGTCTTTTCTTGGTGACCAGTTCCAATTTGTGTTGATAGGAGGGGAAATAATGTCCAAAGCCCCTAATATGTATAGTGCCACAGGGTTCAACATTATCACCTCTCCTGGTTAACACATTCTAGAGGCAGTTGGATGAGATCGGTTGGTTCAAGGTTAGCTATCATAATATACCATTTGATTACAGGCTGATCATGTGATTCTGTGAGATCTTCTGGAGCCTTAATAGGGAGGAAAAGTTTCGGACTCAACCCTAGCTAAACCAAGTAGCTATTAGTATTGGGGGCATTGGGCTGGGGAGAACTGAATGGGATTGCATTTGCCCATACAGGAATGGAGTACAACTTGGGAGAATCTTCCTGGACTCTTAGTTCCTACACAAAGAGCAATAGCAATTGTGGCCAGGAAGGTCTTTGCACAGAAGTATCTGGTGCATGAACTGGATTGCCCTCCTCATTCATGCCTTGGTTACCTCACACAAGGATTATTACAAAGTGGCCTATATAAGGCTATCCTTAATGACCATTCAGAAACTAAAGTCATTCCAAAATGTAGTGACACAATCAGTAAGGTGCCAATCTCAGTATGTCTAGGTAACATCTCTTCTTGGTGAACTGAACTGGTTGCCAGTAGGTTTTTAGATGCAATTCAAGGTGCTGGTTATTACCTATAAAGATCTACATGGCATGGGGCCCAGTTAAAATTTTCTTTTGTGCTTTCTGGCTCTCTGTTCAGTGAACAGAGGCATGCTCTAGGTGTCATCCATTAAGTGATGTCATCTGATGGGATCCAAAAAGCAAGACTTTTCTGTGCAGCATCCAGCATCCTCTGAGAGGGCATCCTCCCAGAGACTCTTGGCCATTCCCCAGTCTCCTTCAAATGAATCTTGAAGATCTGGCTCTTCACTCAGCCTTTGGGCCTGGATAAAAGTGGTGTTATACAGTATTTAGGGTGGAAAAATATAGTATGAGCATACAAGTTGGGGGATACATGGGTAGAAAGCACTTATTAGATAAGGACATTCGTGTGGACATTAGCAACAAGCTGGACATGAGCAGCCTAGAAGAACTAAAGCAGTTTGGGCTGCATCAGAAGAAAGATATTATCAAAAGCATATAAAGCCCTTACTCCATGCAATTCTGCACCAATGAGAACACAGAGCAGAGTTGTTCTACCGCCAGTCTTGCTATTCCTCATTCTAGCAATACTGCCCCTCTCCAAATCTCTCTAGTTCATTCAGGAAAGCCTTTACCTCCCCCCCTTTCTGCTATGAAAGGCACATTTACAACCCCTGGCTTTGGAAAATCCAGATGGTTTCATTAACAATTTTGCCTCAGGCTATGCAGATCCAAAAATCTTCTCTTGAAATTCTCACAAGCTGTCTTCATTTACTAAAAACAGTCACATTGTTCCATTCCTTGTCCTTTTCAAAGACTGG